AGAAACATGACTTGTTCCCTGTTCACTGAGGGGCTTCCATCATGGAGCCCATCCAACCACCCCACGCTGATGCAGGTTCAATTCATTTTGTAAAATTTGTACACATAACATATTAATTCATAGCAAAGTTATATGGCTCTAAGTGTGCACCTCCCAACACCCTTCATCAGCTCCTTGGATTCCCAGCAGTGCCTACAACTGTCCAGATGTTTTAAAGGGCCATGTTAGTACTAAAATCTACTGGATGACATGGGACAGAGAGGGATGGGAACACTTCCTGGGGAATGTGCAGCAGGAGCTCCACAATGGTCATAACCAATAGAAAGATGGCCTGAGACCTGAGTTGTAGCACAGTCAGAGACATGAGAAATTATATTGCCCAGGAACCCTAAGACCTGAGTTCTAGTCCTAGACATATATCAAACCCCTCAACCTCATTCAGTCTTTAGTTTCTCACTTGAAAAGTGAAGGGGTTGAACCTGATAACTGACTGGCATCCTCTGGCTCTAACAAAGTAGGGGTAGGAGTGGACAGGACTCATGTCACAGCCACTCATCTACAGAGGAGTGGATCGTGAACACTGGGATTCAAGAACCTTTGGGTCCGTCTCACAAGGAGCATAAAGATAGTGGCTGATGCTTACGGCGTGTTAAGTATTGCCAGGCAATGGCCAAGAGCATCATCTCTGCTAATCTTCTCATCTGCCTACTGGGGTAGGTACAATTATGATCCCTGTTTTACAAAGGAGGAACAGAAACACAGAGAAGTTACATAACTTTCCCACAGTTTCATTGATAAATGGTGGTACTAAGTCTTGATGTATGTTTAAAAACTCACAATCTGTGTGACTTTGGGAAGTTCATTAATTACTCTGAACCTCAATTTCCTCAACCAAAAAGTGAGTATAATAATACTCTCCACATTCTAAAGTTGTAGTAAGGATGAAACGTCAGATGCTTAGCATGATATTCTGTTGCATAGTAACTTCTCAATCATTGTTGCTGTTGTTATTATAATTATTATTATTCTCCTATTTCTGGATTGTCAACCACAGATTTCATTGCTGGCTTTGCTCATACTCTTGCTCTTTTGTCTTTATTTTCACTACAAGACTCTCCTTCTCCCCCTTTCTCTCCATGATCACAGTTCATTGGGTCAGGGGTAGATCCCTGACCTAAAGAGTTAGCAATCAGATTTCTCTCCTGGGAACTGGGGATTGAGAATTGAAGGGCTGAGTTCATTGATGGTGAGCATTAGGTCTGTTAGGTTGGACCTTGTACAAACAGAAGATGCCAGTCAAGAGAAGGAGACAAAGAGAAGCTGACAGGAGAGATCAAATGGCCACTGAGAGACAGAGATGAGAAATAAGTCAGTGACCATGAGGTTTAGCTGCACTTCAGTTTCTATAGCCCTGATTTTACCAAGTGTATCCTTATCATTAGTCCCTGGTGGCTCAAATGGTTAAGTACTTGGATGCTAACTGTAAGGTTGCAGGTCCAAGTCCACCCAGAGGTTCAGAAGAAAAGCCTGGTAATCTGCTTCCCAAAAGTCACAGCCTGGAAAACCCTATGGAGACGTTCTCGACACACATGAGGTTGCCCTGAGTTGGAATCTACTCAACAACTGTTTTCTGTTTGTTTCTTTAATCCTTATCATTAATATCCCCCTCTCTTTTTTTCTTTAATTGGATTTGAGAAGATTCTATGACCAGACAAATCAGAGGCCTGGGCCTTGGGGTTGTTGTTGTTGTTGTTATGTGCCGTCGAGTTGGCCCTGACTCATAGCGACCCCTCCTTGGGTTTCCGAGGCAGTGTCACTACGGAAGTAGGATTGCCCAACCTTCCTTCCGAGGAGTGGCTGGTGGGTTTGAACCACCAGCCTTCTGGTTAGCAGTCAAGTGCTTTAGCCACTATGCTACCAGAGGCTTTGGGGTAGAGGTGACTATACAGGTGTGTTCAAGAGTGTCTGGCTCCACCCTGTATCTTTAAATCAAGCTGATGCCTACAGATCACATGGCCAGGGGCTAGTTTGTGACAACTGTCCAGAACCCCTGAGTTTTTCTTATGTCTTTACTTTTATGGTTTCTAATCTACTCAGTTTCTTATCCTTATGCCCTTCTCTCTCATTCTGACCCCAGAGTCACCCCTTGGAATTGATTACAGATGTAGCTTTTCTGAATTTGGACTCCAGGAGATGGGCTGGTCCTTAAGCTTGAGTGTTTCTTCTTGCTCCTGGTTACCTGGCCTGGCTACCCAGGATCCACGCTCATACTGGCCTACCCGAAGGTGCCACTGGCAGGTATGTCCTCCACCCTACTCTGGAGAAGGAATGGCTTGAGTTTCCTGAATGTTTGCTTGGGGACTGAGACTGTGAACTGACACTGGAATGGGCCCCTTGCCTCTGTATTGCCTCCATCCTTCTAGGCCCATTATCTCCATGCCACTATTTTTGTGACACCTTCCCTGACCTGCCCAGCCTTACCTGTCAGACTTGCCCACAGGGACTCCTTCCTCTGTGGCCCTTTGCCCTGTTCCAGGCCTTCAGCAACCACCACCCTCTGCTCTAGTTGAGTAACTACTTTTACTGTGTACACTTTTTTCTGCTAGAGGGTAAGCCCCCACAAGACAGGCTTTAGGCCTTGTTCTTCCCTATAACCCCCATAGTACCTAACTCATTGCCTTACACATCATGGGTGCTTCGTGGAGGGACACTACTAGTGGTTGAGTGAGTTGTGCAGTCTCCATGTGGTGTCTTCATTCTGCTCCATCCGTATTCTTCCACCCCTCTACTCACTTCCTTTGGTAAGTAACCCCTCAAAAATCAAAAAACAAATGAACAAAAATAGAAGCTAAGGCTTACACTAGGCCATATTTTACTAGCAAATGAGATTACCCAGTTGCCTGTGAGTCAGTTCTGACTCCTCGTGACGCCATGTGTATGAGAGTACAACTGTGCTCCATAAGGACTGCAGTGGAAGGTTGTCAGGCCTTTCTTCCAAGCTGCTTCTGGGTGGATTTGAACCTCCAACGTTTTGGTTAGCAGCCAAGTATGTTAACTGTTTGCACCACTCAGAGAAGTTACTGGGTTTTAAAAGGCAGACCCTGAGGGTGGAGCTCCCTCCTGTACGCCTGCTTCCTGTAACTGCCTGTCTGACTCCCAGGTGACCCCACTGTTCTCCTCTGCTTTCTGCAGACCAAGGGAACCAGGGCCTTTGGGCAGGTATGACCTGGTCATTCTTCCTTTTCTGTTCTATCTCTTTGTCTTAGGGACAAAAGGGAAAAAGTAGCAGAAGGCATCACTGATGTGTCCTGTCCTGTGCTGTTTTCCAGTTCCGTTTTAACCAAAGAGAGCTATATGGCCAATGGTGCACCATAAATAAAGCACAGTGTTCCTCACTTGGTTCCTGGACTCTAGGTATAATTCCCTGTGGGCACTCCTAGTCCCCTGCCCCCACTTGAGCACTGTGAACTCCTAGCAGGGCTCAGTGTTTTTGATTAAGGAGTCAGGGATTTACTCTCAGGCTCCACAGTGAGACTGAATACTCAGGGGACCCTTCTTTGACTCGTTGCCCTTCAAAGGTGAATATGACAAGGAACCCTGATGGCATCATGCCCCCTCCATTGGACAGAAAAGATTAGAAATCACCACCCTCATAGAAATAGCTCTTTATTGAGTCAGTAATACTATGCTATATGATATCATATGTAGACAAGAGAATTACATGGCAGTGGGGGTGGGTAAGTGATGCAAACCAGTTGCACATTTATTACAACAACGAAGGTGGCATAAAGGCTTTTTGAATGGCAGAAAGGGGCTCATTGCTGATCAGTGTTTGGGAGGAGACAGCTCCCAACCCACAGGTCAGAGGGTGGTGTGAATCTGGCCATAAAGGCAGGGCAGCTTTATAGGGAGTTCAGCCTATGGGAGCAATGCCTTTAGGCCTTCACCTGCATTGGGGAAATTCCCCACACTCCTCTGCCACTGTGTGCAGGAAGTCTGGGGTGCTGACATTGAGTGAGCTTCATGTGGAGTTCAGACCCTTGCATGGTGAGACCTCCCTCTCCCAGTGCAGTCGTGCTGCTTGTGCAGAGGGATCAGGCCATTCTGGGCCAGGGTGAGGGGAGGCCAGTATGCAGCTGAGGGCAGGAGGAAAGCCAAGGTGTCAGTGGGCATAGCCGCACTGTGATCAGGAGCCAGCCTCCTTCAGCCTGGTCTTCCTTCCCCAATGAACCTAGACAATGGCCTTGTGTAGGGCAGAGAAGGCAGCTGTGCAATGCCCCAGTGGACAAAGCACCGACATGCTCACCTTGGCCTCCCTCCCTCCAGTTTCTGTGGCCTTTCCTGGGTGTTGGCTGCTACTTTGGCAGAACATTCCAGGGCCTGGATATTCTGCCTGTGCAGATGAAACTCCTGCTTGGATTTCTCGTGGACTTCTCCTGAGACACGTGGACAAAATGCTGAACTTGTTGGAGGCACCATGTTCAGGGCCCAAGAATGACCAGTTAGGTGAGGCAAGACGCAGCTCCCTGAGGTCTCTGGTCCCATGATGATGGGGAGGGTCTTGCAGCTGCCAAATCTACCCTGTCCCTCGAGTTTTAATCATAATCTGGCAAGATTTTCCTGGGTCTTTTAAACAATGTGAGCCCCAGGCAACTGCTGGCTAGGATGGGTGTGAAGATGCTGGGAATAGGGGAGTAGACCACTGATTTAGGGGTAGATTAAAAACCTCCATCTAGAGGTAGCCGCTGTCCTGGTAGGCTCTGTCACAGGAAAGGGGGGTTCTCTGCTGCCTTCTTCTCCTGCCCAGTCAGGGAACCCCAGTCAGCCCCCCTGACCTGCAGGGAATTGTGTGTGTGTGCGTGTAGATGGGAGCTGCTTTCCTACTGGGGAGCCTGAAGCTGCAGGGCTAGCCCTGGAGGACTCCCAATTGGTATCAAAGGACCACAACTGTCTCTAGGTGAGGCTTTCTGGGTGCTCACGCTGCTCTTAGCCCTCTTCCTGGCATTCTGTGTGGCAGTGTCCTGGACTAGCCCCTCTTCAGTAGGGACTCTGGCTCCCTGGTGAGCCTTGGGGTCCGGGGAGGCCAGGAGGACCCTGGATCCCTGGTTCACCCTTAGGCCCCATGGGCCCCCGCTCGCCTGGTGACCCTGTCTTCCCTGCGATACCTGGTTTTCCCTGAGACCCTGGGGGCCCCTCTGGCCCTGGGGCCCCCTCTGGTCCGGGGGGCCCCACATCCCCTTTGGGGCCTGGCTGTCCTCTTGGCCCTCCAGTTCCCAAACTGCCTTTTGAGCCTTTGAGGCCTGGGACACCTCTCAGGCCAACTGGCCCCCGTTCTCCCACAGGTCCGGCATCCCCAGGCTGCCCCTGAGGACCCTGAAGCCCTGGGGGGCCTAAGTTGCCTGCGTCTCCTTTTGGTCCTCTGCTGCCAACAGGCCCTTTCATGCCCACATCTCCCTTGAGTCCTCTTGGTCCTGGAGGGCCGGGGACACCTAGGATTGGAAAAAGAAAGGGAGCGGTCACTCCATGTGGGGCTGCTTCATAAACCTGCTCTCATGAAGTTTTCCACAAACAGGGAATGGAGTACAGCCACAACGCCAGGCTGGACTATTATCAGGTAACAGGCCTGTTACCATTTGGCCTTGGGAGTTTGAGCCAATTCTTTGATTCTTCTGAGTAAATCTGTCATTTGCGAAGTGGGAATAATAATACTTACCTGCCTAGTGAGGGGATTTCATGAAATAACATATGTAAATTCTCCAGCATAAGGCCTGGCGCATGGAATACATGCAACAAATAACAGCCTATTATTCTGACTCCAAGTCTTTTCTATGGCTACACACATGCACTTGAGTTGGGGACTGAGAAAGCTGGACCACTCTGGGGAAAGGCCAAAGCCGTCCAGCATTATCTCTCCTGCTCTAGAGGCCAGGCTGGCCTCTCCCTCTCCTCATAGTTTTTGATCATAGTATTAATTCCTGCCCTACCCACAGGCTCTGCCCAAGACCACTTAGGCATCTGGGAGCAGGGCTGGAGTTAGGTGATATCAAAGAGAAAGCCAAGAAAGGGAGGTATGAGAAGCAGAAACAGACCAGTCTGAGTACATGGGAACACAACAGCTCACAGAAAGGGCAATTCCTTCAAGAAGCCCACCCTGACCTCTCTAGCCTCTTCTATGAGCTCTTGTAGCTACTACTTTCTGAATCTTTTATTTAATACATAGAAAGAGAAGTAAGAGTATACTGAAAGCAAGCCCTAGATGCTTATCTGTTGGAACCTGCAAGATTGTGGAGCCCTTGAAGGAAAGGTGAGGGCTACACCTCCCACTCCCAACCTAGACACAGAGTCTGGCATGTGGCAAAGAGCTCAGTATGTGTTTGTAGAAGGTGATTCTGGGAAGAGAGAAAGAAAAGGCTTTGTTCACAGATGATATGACTGTTTATGTAGAAAATCCCAAAGAATCAGGAAAAAAAAAAAAAAAAAGGAATAAGCAATTACAGCAAGGTTGCAGGATATAAAACTGATCAAAGTCTATTGCTTTTCTATATATCAGCAATGAACAATTGGTATTTGAAATTAAAGGTATAACACCACTTACATTAGCACCAAAAATTTAAATATTTAGGTATAAACTATTGAAATATGTACAAGATCAATATGAGGAAAACTGAAAAACTGATGAAAGAAATCAAAGACCACCTAAATAGAGATTCCATGTCCATGTACTGACTGACTTAACATTATTAAGCTGTCAATTATCCAAATTGACTTATAGATTCAATGCAATCCCAATTTAATTCCCAGCAAGATATTTTTGTGGCTATCGAAAAACTAAAGTTGACATGGAAAGGTAAAAGACCCTGAACAGACAACACAATATTGAAGAAAAACAGAGTTGGAGGACTGATGCCACCCAATTTCAGGACTTAATATGGAGCTACAGTGATCATGACAGTGAGATATTGGGGAAGGAATAGACAAATAGATCAGTAGAACAGAATAAAAAGACCAGAAATAGATCCACACAAATATAGTCAACTGATCTTTGAAAAAGGAGCAAAGGCAATTCCCTGGAGAAAGGAATCTTTTCAACAAATTATGCTGGAACAACTGGACATCCATGTGCAAAAAATAAATAAAAATCTAGATATAGAGCTTACATCTTTCACAAAAATTAATTTAAGATGAATGGATCATAGACCAAAATGTAAAATACAAGACTATATAACTGTAGATGACATAGAAGGAAATCTAGGTGACTTGGCTTTGGTGAGGGTGATTCACCAAACAGTAGTGGACACCGGCTATTGGCCAGGATCAGGACTATGGCCTGTGGGAGATGCTAAGACGAAAATATGGTCCTTCCTTAGTGAACCTAGTCTAGTGCCAAACCAGAAGTCAGATAACTTAATATACTTCTGACTAGACAAGTCTGAGGGTCACTACCTGTCAGAGCTGTATCAAACCTGAGGACACACAGCCATATGTGGTTGTCACTCTACCCAAGGCATGCTAAATGCAGAGGAAAAGAGAATTATTAGGCATCATGAGGATGGTGCTTTTGGAGAACAAGGGCTGAGGTATAATATGGACTTGGCTTTCTTTGGTGATCTGGGCAAGGGATCAGTGGGGAGAGTTATGGAGAGCAGTGAACCAGAGGGTTGGCCTGGGTGATGAAGCCAAGTGCTCACACCAGGCCTCTGTGAGAACTGTGCTCTTACATTACCCCCTTTGTAATTGAACTCTTGAGTTTTTGAGCTAGATGGTACTTGATCCAATTCCTTCCTTTTACAGAGGAGATAACTAATGCCCAGAGAGGTAAAGTGATATCCCTACATCTTCCTGATTAGAACCTGGGTGGGTCTCTCAGACAGCAAGGATGCTATGTACAGGGCAAGCAGGCAGCCTTTTAAGTGCCATAACCCAACACTGTGGCATCAAGGTCCCTTCCCCATCTAACACAGACATGGTAGCTGGAGATCTTGGTCCAGTTACTAGCTGCCCTTTCCACCCTCCCCTCCCCCTGCCTTGGACCTGCTGTTCCGGCTCCTTGTCTCCTTCCTACGGTGTTTCTAAGTGGAATGGTGTGTCAGTGAATACTGTCCTCTATTATGACCTAAACTGGAAACCGGAGCCCAGACAGAGTCAGCCCCACCAGGGCCAATAAAAACATTCAGCCAGTTTTCTGCCACTGCCTGCCCCATCACCACCTCCCACCCATGGGATGTGGCCATGCATGGCTCACGTGGTCTGCCAGCAGCCAAGGCTGGAATTTTGTCCGTCATTAGGTTGGCTGGGGGTAGGGCTTGGGACTGGCTGGGGATGGCAGCAGCTTGGCCCCTGAGAAGCCAGAAAGTAGGACTTACCCTCTCTTCCACAGCCAGCACCTCTAGAGTGCAGTGGCCAGAATCAAATGGCACAAGGGGGTACCCTCACAGGAACTGACTCCCCAACACTGGCAGGACTTGCTGGGAACTGGCAATGCCACAGTGTCTGTCTTCACTCAACTCTGTTCTTGGCACCTGGACCAGCTGAGGTTTGGAAAAAGAGAGGGCCATTCAGAGGTGGAAAGGTCCCCAGGGGCTGTGTGGGTGGTGTGAGGAGCACAGAGCTGGGAGCCAGAGGTTAGTGGAGCCAAGCTGGCCAAGTCCTTTCCCAGACTAGAGCTCAGTTTTTCATATGTAAAATGAGAGTTGTACTTCAGAGCTTCTAAGGACCCTTCTGGCTCTAAGACCACCCTTCCTACAGACATGTGCTCTTTCCTTGGTTTTGCAGGCACTTGCCTCCTACTTTTTTTTACTGCTTTTTGTGCCCTTCTTTTGACTCTTCCTCCAACTACTCTGGGAATGTGGGCTCCCCCAGGGCTTGCTCCCAATTCCTTGGCTGTATACCCTCTCTACTTACAGATGAACTTAACCACTTTTTTGGCTTCAAACAAGTAACCTCTGGGTGGATGAATCAGTCACCTCCATCTCCAGCCTTGACTCAAGAAGAGCCTGAGAGACATCTCTACAAGGATGCCCTCCCCTCCTTGCCCCCGAGTCAAGCCAAGTCTCCCTGAGACCCCATTTCTTCTTATACCATCATCATCTCTCCTCCTGGTCTACTGAGGAGCATAGCAACCAGCTTTGGTTTCTAAGGGGTTTTATGCCAGTAGAAAAGGAGTAGTCCCTGGGTGGTTCATGTCAACTCAGAGGCCCCTCAGAAGAATGTCTGGTGATCTGTTGGAAAAATCACTCATTGAAAACTCACAGTTCTACTCTGGCACACATGGGGTCGCCATGAGTCAGAATCGACTCCATGGCAACCAGTTGGTTGGTTTGTTGGTAGAGAAGGAGAAAAGGTAGAAGTGTAAAGCCCTTCTCTTTTTCCTCCTCTACACCAGCCCCTGGCATCTTTCCCTGGATGGGAAAGGCTGAGGCCTCCCACATGCTTCTGGAGGAAGTTTGTGCAGAAGCTCCCTGTAATATACTTCACTTCATCACACACACACACACACACATGCACGCACACACACACACACACACACACCCAAGGGCTATAGCCCTGAGAGTGGAGTGAGGATTTCCAGAATTAAGGTTACTTTCCCATCCCTACTCCCTCAAGCCACAGCTGATACCACTGACCTCAGCTCTGAGAACCCAGTGGAGTTCATCCTGGGCCCGTCTGAATCTCACAGGCCCTTGTGTGGGCTACTGACAGATGCTCCTGTTGCAGATGAAAGCTCCCTCACTGCTACATGTCACAGGCTGGTGGTGGAGCCCACCTCATGTTGGGGGGTTCACAATGGTGTTACAATATTCAGTCCCTGGCTCACTTTAGCACCTGAATCTCTAACTGCCCCATGTCCTGCCTTTTTTCATCTCCTACAGGGTGGAAAAAGGATGAGTGATGAGAAAAGCTAACATTTGTCTAGTGTGTTCTGGGAGTCCTTGAATGGTTCAAATAGTTAAGTGCTCAGCAGGTAATTGACAGGTTGGAGGTGTGAATCCACCCAGACATGCCTTGAAAGAAAGGCCTGGCAATCAATTTCCAAAAAATCATCCATTACAAACCCTATGGAGCACAGTTCTACTCTGACACACATGAGATCTCCTTGAGTTGGAATTGCTATCATGGCAATTAAAAAAATTTTTTTTTACTGTGTCTCAGGCACTTTACATTGAGGATCCTGTCTCATTTTACAGACGAGAAACTGTGGTGCAGAAAGGTGAGCACTTGGACAAGATCACTCAGCCAGTAAGGAGAGACTCTGAACTTGATATCGTTTGCCCCACACTCCACACAACCAGCTGCAGGGGCTCCTGGTCCTTTTCCCAGCCTCTCATTTTCCCACAGAAGAGGCCTCCTGCCCTAGGTGCTGCCTGAAGGAGGGAGAAAACCTCAGAGCCCTTCTCGGAGGGGAGCTGAGCAGTGGCTTCATCAGGGTTGGTGTCACTCAGTGTGGTAACTCAAGGTGTCATCTCTCCCTCATGGACTTCCTCTCATTCCA